GGGGGCAAAATAGGTTTACATTTGTTTGTATGGAAAATAATACAATATTTAATAAATAATATAATAATTAAATAATAATACAAGAATAAACTCTGTGTTTCATGTACTCACAACTGTAAACTTACTTTTGCCCAACATTATACCATGTTTTTATAGAATTTATTGGGGTGAGAGCATGGATGGACCTGGAGATTACTATGCTAAGTGAAATAAGCCAGGAAAAGAAAGACATACCATATGATTTCACTGGTATGTGGAATGTAATGAACAAAATAAACCAACAAACTAGAAGCAGACTCAGACAGCTATCAAAGGAAAGGGGGCTGGGGGACTAGGTGAAATAGGTGAAGAGATTAAGCAAAAAAAACGTATATATATAACATATAGACACAGTCAACTGTGTGGTGAGTCAGAGGGAAAGGAGGTGGGGAGTAGGTGAAGGTGGGCAAAGGTGAAAAAAATGGGGACAGAAAGAGACTTTGCTTGGGGCGTTGGGCACAGATGCAGTGTGAAGATGTTTTATTGACTTGTACACTTGAAACCTGTATGGTTTTGCAAACCAGTGTCACTAATCTGTACTACATTAATTGTGGGAAGGGTGGCAAGAATGTTGTCAATAAATTTACCCTTTAATTAATGGAAAAACCAATAGTGACTCTGGCCAAATGAGCCAAAGCTTAGTCCTGAGTAAGCTATGCTTCATAACAGCTAAAATAACTTCTGTGTTACATAGGTAATCAGACATTCACTGTCTCAAGAGGTACATCTAAGCAGAGCAATTTTAGCTTTAGGTATTAGGAACCAGTCAGAAATGAAGAATCACTTTTAAAATGATGACTTTGGGTGTTTTTCATACATCAAAATAGCATTTCACTAGACCCTTTTAAGTAGCTAGGAGAGTGATTTTCCCCTTTGAATAGGTCTTTTTTTAAAAGTCAAGAATTTATTTTGATCTCAACTTATATTTCTTCTTTGACCCAGTCATTTTTAGTAGCAAGTTCTATAATCTCCACATATCTGAGGGGGAGGGGAAGGTTAACTTCCCTTTTGCCGTTGATTTTTCATTACAAGGCACTGTGTTTAGGGAATATGCTTGCTATCATTTCAATCTTAAATTTGTTGAGACTAGTTTAGTGACCCAACATATGGTCTCCTTGAGAATGTCCCATGTGCCCCGAGGAAGAATGTACAATCTGATGTTCTGGGATGAAAGGCTCTGTAAATGTCAATTATATCCATTTGGACTAATGTGTCATTTGAGTCCAATATTTCTTTATTGATTTTCTGTTCGGATGACCTATCTAGAGCTGTCAATGGGGTATTTAGGTCCCCAACTATAATTATGTTTCTTATCTGATTCTTCTGTTAGTTCTGTGAGTAGTTGCTTAATATATATAGGTGCTCCATGATTGGAAACATATGTATTAAGAAGTGTTATGCCCGACCGGGCGTGGCTCAGCAGTTGAGCGTCGACCTAGGATCCAGGCGATCGGGGTTTGATTCCCGGTCAGGGCACACGCCCGGTTTGTGGGCTCGATCAATGACTCTCATCGTTGATGTTCCTATCTCTCTCTCTCCCTCTCCTTTCCTTTCTCTGAAATCAATAAAGATATATTTTTTTTAAAAAAGTGTTATGTCTTCTTGATGTATTTTCTTCTTTATCATTACAAAATATCCATCTTTTGTTTCTTGTTACCTTAGTTATGTTGAAACATGTTTTCTGTGCTATGACTATGGCTACACCTGCTTTTCTGTGGATGCCATTTACTTGTAGAATCATTTTCCATCCACCCTTTGACTCTGAGACTAACGCAGTTTTTGCAGCTTAGATGTGTTTCCTGAAGGCAGCATATGGTTTAGTTTTGTTTTTTGATCCAGTTTGTTACTCTGTGCCATTTCATTGGCGAATTCAGTCCATTTACATTTTGAGTAATTACTGATATATGAGGATTTCCTATAGTCATTTCATCTTTTGTTTTCTGACAGCTCTGTGTCTCCATTGGTTCTTTCCCTCTGTGTTTTTGTCTATTGTTTTGTTTGGTCATATTCCATACTTTTTTTCTCTATTTGCTCTTTTTTTAACTTATGTGTCTCAGTTTAAGGTTTTTTGTGTGTAGTTATCATTAGATTTATGAGAAAGAATGTTTCATATATGCAGTAGTCTTTTTACTTTTGAATGAATCTAATCTCCATCCCCCTTTGCAAATTTAGACTTTGTCCCCTCTCCTTTTATGTTTTTGTTGTCATAAATTATTCCTATTTATGCTGTAAGTTTGTTTGGTGATCTTACTTATAGTTTTGTGAGCTATTGTACTTTGTTTCAGGTAGAATAACTCCCTTGAGTATTTCCTGTAATGGATGTCTTCTGGTGGTAAATTATCCCAGCTTTTGTGTGTTTAGGAAAGTCTTTATTTCCCCTTACATCAATAGGATAACTTTGTTGGCTATATTATTCTTGTTGGTAATATATCTCAGTAGTATGAATATTTGGTCCACTCTTTTTTAGCTTGTAGGGTTTCTGCTGTGAAGTCCAATGATAATCTAATGGACTTTCCTTTCCAGATTATTTTCTTCTTTATAGAGACAAATGAGAATGACAATAAAACATATCAAAACTTTATGGATGCAGCAAAAACAGGGATAAGAGGGAAGCTTATATCATTATGAGCCTATTTCAAAAAAAGAAGAGAAATCCCAACTAAGCAACTTAATATTACATTTTAAAGAACTAAAAAAAGAAGAACAAAAGCAGCCAGCAGAATTAAATGACATAAAGAACAAAAAGACTGTACAAAAAATTAATACAACAAAGAGCTGGTTCTTTGAAAAGATTAATTAAGTTGACAAATCCCTGACTAGACTCACTAAGGGAAAAAGAGAAAAGACTCATATAAACAAAATCAGAAAAGAAAAAGAAGTTACCACAGATATACAACGAATTATACTAGAATTCTATGAAAGACTATATGCCACTAAATTCAATAACTTAGAAGAAATCGGATAAGTTCCTAGAAATATATAACCTTCCTAGACTGAATCATAAAGTGAGGGAAAAGAAACAACCATCAAAAACTTCCCAAAACATAAAAGCCCAGGACCAGATTGCTTCACTAGTGAATTCTACTAAACATTCAAATAAGATTTGGTAACTATTCATCTTAAACCCTTCCAAAAATTTGAAGAACATGCAATACTTCCTAACACATTTTATGAGGCCAATATAACCCTGATACCAAAACCTGGAAAGGATAACAACAACAAGAAAACTACAGACCAGAATCTCTAATAAATACATATGCAAAAATACTAAACAAAATACTAGTAAATTGAATACAATACATTAAAAAAATAATATATCACAATCAAGTGGGGTTCATTCCAGGGGCACAAGGATAGTTCAAGATATCAAAATATATCAATGTAATACACCTCATTAACAAAAGAAAGAATAAAAATCATATGATCTTATCAATAGATATAAAAAAAATTTGGTAAGATACAACATCCATTTGTAATCAAAACATTCAATAAAAATGGCTATACAAGAAAAGTACCTCAACGTAATAAAGGTCATATATAACAAACCCTCAGCTAATATCATACTCAATAGTGAAAAACTGAAAGTTTTTCCTCTACTATCAGGAACAAGACAAAGATGCCCACTCTGACCACACTTAATCAACGTAGATCTGGAAGTCCTAGCCAGAGCAGTAAGGGAAGAGAAAGAAAAAAAGGCATCCAAATTGGAAAGGAAGAATTAAAAATGTAACTTTTTGTAGATTACATGATTCTTTATATAGAAAATCCACCAAAAAGAGATTAGAAACAATTCACTAATACAGTGAAGTTACAGGATACAAAATCAATGTACAAAAATTCACTGTATTCATATATCAAGGAAATTTCAGAAAAAGAAATAAAAAAAATTACTTTTGCAATTGCAAGGAAAAGAATAAATTA